CTTGCCCAGACCTAGAAGGGTTGATGTCAAGGCCGAGGTACTTATGTCGCAACGACTTGCGGCTTTGAGTCCACTATAGGTGTAGTTTAGGCAGCATGGAATGATGGAAGTGGTGAATTCCGGCATTTGGATGGATTGAGAACCAGTCCATGAGATGCTGACCATGATTGTTTTTTAATCGTAAGATTATAAGCACGCTGATCGTCTATGGACGAGGCCGGACGCATGACAGCTGTGCCATCGGCGTTCTTTATGCAGGAGGATAGCTTTCGCGTGCGGAGACGGTACATCTGTATCTATTTAGCTGGTAGATTAGAAACTGAAACTATTAACTGATACATTACAGCAATGCTTTGAGCTATGATTATGGTTCATGAATGCAATGTTCCTTGTCCTATCTCATGAGAAGGAAGCACTCTGTTTGTTTTTGGACTGATAGACGATCTTATCTCTGCAGCACAAAGTATCAGTAGACAGTGAAGATATCGTAGTCATAGAGATTGGCAATTTTTCTGATGCAAATTGTGAGTATCCTTACTAAATGGACGTGAAAGTTGTCAAAAAAAATTACGTCGGAATGAGAAAAGGACAGGTTAAATCCTTTTAAAAGAATACTAAGCTGCTTTTCAGGATGGAAACTAAGAACGAAGCTTTTAGCGCAGCTGTGTCGCATTAAGCTTCTATGATCTATTCTCCAGTTGTAATCTCGTCCTAAATAATTTAAGTTCTACCATTTAATCGCTGTATATTTTTCATTTTCCCATTTATTTTTCTTTCTCTTTCATCTCATTTACCTGTGATTTTCTTACTTGTCTCCGCTGCAGTGCATTAATTGTAAACTTGCTGATATCTGTCACTACGTTATCTTCTCGATATATTATATTTTGTGCTGAAGAAGTAACACCGTTTTGGATTCCAGAAGCTTAATTTCAAAAGTGTTTTATTCCAGCTTCTTTCCGTGTCGTATGTTAACCTTGATGAGTCCCTTTAATTGTTTTTAATGTATTATTTAGAATAAAGCAAGTCTAGATAACAATTTGCCATGCAAAGGTTTGGTTTATTTTAGTTTGTAAATGTGTGTACGTTTTAAATAGCTTAGCACAATCCGAGAAAGCGACTTGAAATAATGCAGCACTAATTGTTCTTCGTTTGATGTGAGTAAGTTCATTTTCCATTTGCCTTCTTTGATTGTTGTGTACTTGTTAAGATATCAATAAAACGGATTCGAACGGTAGTCTAATCTATTGCATGAAAATTAGTTAATGTTTAAGTCTTAAAAACTTGAAATTTCAGGAATAATGTGCTTTTTTAAATGTTATATATGAGTTAATGTCTCTACAATTTCGTTCTAATGATGTTCTAATTACTTTATAACAGTTTCTTCTGGATAAGCTGCGATAGTACTATGTTATTTTAATGTTTGTAATTTTGTTTGACAGTAATATATTTTTGTTTAGTAGGGTTGAGAATCCTAAATGTTTTGTTGCACTTTTCACTTGCAATGACGATTGACTCTTATTTTTTAAGTGTTCAGTTGCTATGCTTAATACAGTCAACCATACAATCCTCACTGATCAGCTAATCAATCATTTCAACGAAATCAATCGTGCTCTCAGTATTACAAATGCAGTGACCAGAAATTTTGAACAAATCATGCCAATTGCTGAATCTTTTGGCATACCTTGTATATTTTGACCTCCAATTAGCGTAAACCCGCCAGCCTGTCTCATTAGCTAAACCAATATAGCAGTCAACCATCTAGTTTTCTCCGAATCATATTAGTTTGATACATCAGCACTAGTATACTTTCATGCGAGAAAGCTGTATTACGTTGTTGTTGCGTTCTCATTTACGAGTTTTCGCTAAAAAGTCAGATTGTTGACTTATTGACTTTACAGCTGTTTGCAAAGAACGCCTTTATGTCCGAATTTCTGTAATTTTTTTTAAAAATAAAAGCAGTTTTTGTTCTCCTATCGTTTTTGTATCATATTTGTTGGTATTGTGCTAAAATGTTTCTTTTTATTTAGACAATATCGTAACTGCACTCGATCATTTCGCTCGCGTGCTTGCAGTTGATCTGGAAGGTAAAAATTATAAAACAATGCTATTTGTATCTTCAAAATTGTTTTTTAACTGCAGTAATGATCGAAGACGGTCTTACGTAGGCAAGTCTTGATCAAGATTTGCCGAACCGAAGGGAAAACGCGCCGAAAGCCAAGAATATTACAGGGTCTCGCCTCTGACTAGAGATGTTACGTGCCAAACAAGCCGGTCGTAATTTGGCTGCGTCCATGCATAGCCGGCCTACTCGAGGTCGCAGTCACATTCGGGTGACGCTGACAAGAATGTAACTTTATAATGTTAAAGCGTGCAATTTTCAAGCCATTCAATTTAGAGAATTCATCATATTGATAGACTGCAGTGGCTACAGCGAAGACACGAGCGGACTGGAGAATGGGGTTGTAATACCTCTGTTCAAGAAGGAAGATTATATAAGTGCTGAAATTATCGGCGTTTTAACCTACTGAACCTCCCGGGGAAAGTCTATGCAAAAGTACAAGAAAGGAGGTGACGCAGAATAACTAACTCCAAAATATAAGAAGGGCAGTGTGGCTTCTGGCCCGGCCGAAGCACATCTAACCAGGTTTTCGCCCTACGCCAGACTGTCGAGAAATCGTGGGAGTTCGTCCATCTTGGGTATGTGCTTTGTGGTTCTGGAGGAAGTCTATGACCATATCCTGCGGAACATTGGGCACGCCTGCTAACACATGGGATCGATGGCCAGTTGTTACGCGTCATCAGTTACTATATGCTGATAACAGGTGCTGCGTCAGAGTAAATGGCGTTAGGTCGTAACCTTTCATCGTTGACATTGGTCTCCGCCAAGGCTGCGTTCTGTTCTCTCTCTTGCTTGTACTGTACATGGATGAAATACTCAGGGCAGTGAGTGTAACAGAGAAGGAAGTTGTTGTCTGCAGACGACCTTGTTTTGTTTGCATCTTCTGAAACTGATCTCCAGCGCTTGGTGGAAAGCGTTGCAGCCGAGTGCGAGGTGATAGCGGCGTGCGTGTGAATGCCTCTAAAGCGGAAAGTCTAATGCTTCTCGTTCTCCTGCCCGTTGCTTTCGCCAGATAAACGAAGAGTTCAAGTGCTTGGGGCTAGTGTTTGCTACTGATGGAAAATGAGAGGAAGAGATCGATGGGCGGATTAGAATAGCCCGTGGCATTCTGCGAGAATTTGCCTGATCCGTTGTAACTAATGCAGAGCTGAATCTGAAGACTGAGCTGTTGGAGTTCAAGTCAGTCTTCATCGCCGTACTGATGTCCGGTCATGAGATATGGTCTATAACTGAAAACGTTGGTTCCTGGACACAAGCGGGTGAAATGGATTATCGGAAACGAATCGCTGGCCTTAGGCGTCTCGGCATGTTCCTGAGTACAGAAGTCCAAGAGAGAGCTTTGGTGTACAGCTACTGTTTCTGCAAATTGAGAAATGACAGTTGCAATGGTTTGGGCATGTATTGCGAATGCTTCCAGAAAAGTAAGGGAAGCAGTTACTATTTTCCCAGCTGACAGGCAGAAGACCCAGGAAATGGCTACGATTAACCTGGTGCAAGTGTATCGAAGGAGCCTGCTCTAGACTCTGGTTGTCTCCTAGATGATGCATCAGGAACGATGGAAGCACTATCTGACGCGTCTGTCTTTCTGACATGAAGGGAAGGCGATTATGGAAAGTGAAGTGGAGGTGTGACAAAATGACTTCATTAGTGCAGCGTTTGGTGCAGCGAAAATATTTGACCCTTTCATCAAATAATGAAACAACGATTTGTTTTGAATTCAGTTTTGTGCTTGATCTTTCTGCGATGAGTTGACTATTGGTTTAATGAATTAAAAGTATTTATTATTACCTTGTTTCTGTGAAAAAACTACTGCTTCTGGAAACTGCTTCATTTTTTTGCTAAATTTCTTTACAAAGTTTGCAAAAAATGGAAGTGCGAATAGCCAAGTTTTTGCAAAGTGATGGTAGTGGCATAACTTAGTACCGCTTCATGATTCTTGGTACTGGCAGCTATCAAGAGATTTAAAATTTGAGGTGATATGCATGCAAATCAATCTCACGTATTTGTATTAATGCCATAAGGCACGGAAAAATCGTTTAAAATGGTCTTTTCTATAGAGTTGCAGAGATTCATTACTTTAGAATAGCGAGTCGAGTGTAAAGTTCTTCGATTGACGTAAAGAAATATTTTATAATTTATTGTTTGTTACATTTAATACTAACGCTGTTTCGTGGCTCTTTGACAATATCAAGGCATTCTTTTCGACTTCAGCTTAGCTTCTAAACGGTATTTCACTGTGTCAACACCTGAGCTCGTGTAAAAACGCAAACAATCTTTTGAACGCTAACGTCGTGAATCCTCTGAAATAAATGTTTGAAATTTTTGAAAATAGAGCCATAGAAGTTGTTAAGCGAAGATATCCAAGCAAATGATTTGCAGTATAAGATCAATAATCAGTAGACAGAAGTTAGTGTAATGTTTTCAGAAAATCATTTATTTTGCTGAAACGTTCAGATTTGAATTAGGAGAACGTTTATGCTTGCCAAATGACGGATTCTGATCGTTATTCGGGACATTTTGCGGAATAGTAGTACAGTGGTAGTAATGCGACATTCAAGGCGATAGATTCTGGATTCAGTTTCTAAGCTGGACATGAAGTTTTGCGCTTAACTGCTGTTGTGCTTCATTTGGAATTAACTAACTAGCTTTGGAGTATCTAATCTTGAATCGACTAGCAAATTATCGAAAAGCTAACATTATGGTTCCGTCTTGTAGTTATATCAGAACTGATGAAACTTTTACTGGCATTTGACATTTGGTTAGCTCAAGGTGGAACCTCACAAATTAGAGAATTATTGTCGCTGCGTTGCTTTTGTACGATGATATTTATTGTCTGATGTGGCGGCTTGTTTTTCATTCAGTTTTCTTTCCTGTGAAAAAAATGGAAGACGAAGAAGACGAGATATCGCAGGACAAATGTGAAACTGATCCCTGGGCGAGTAACGAATCAGATAATGAAGACTCGGATAGTATGCAAAGCCACGAACTGTTCGAAGGCGATGAAATGATCATCAGCAGTTGTCTAGAAAAATGTTCCAGTAAGAGTTTTACGTTTAGAATCTTTACGACCTTCGACTTATCGAAAGAGATGTTCAGTTCAGATTTGGTATAGAATAGTAAAATGTACCTCGGCGGTTAAACTGTGTACAGCTTCGACGCATAATGTGAGCTAAATGGTAGGATTACATAAGGAATGAGTGTATTCTCTGACTGGCTTAGATGATCTCAATAGATGGGGAGACTAAGAAATGAGGTTGGTTACATTTGGTAATTTGGTTGAGCGTAGATTATTTAGTTCAGCCTGCGAGGTTTTATTGTGGGAACTGAAACAGCATTCTTCTATCAGAAGGCCAGTATGCAACATGGAGGAATAAATTTGCTGTTGAAGAGGAATTGTTCTTTCAGCGAGGCAGTAGCCTGTGCTTTCTAGTAAAAGTGTTGTAAAGCTCCGAATTCTTCAGACGTCACAAACCAGACGTGTTATTTTTTTGCGATCTCAGCAAGCACACAGTTCACTCTCTTCTCTCGGGAAACAAGACTGTTATGACCAGTGGCAGAGGCTTACTCAGTTACAATACAATGAAATTTATGAGTGGCGAATCTGACCTCTAGGATCAAACTATACTAATTTAACACGCAGGGCAACTGACCGTACTTTTCTGTGATCGATGAAAAGCTCTGTTGAAGCTATGGCTGCTTAAGACAACTTATGAATTTGTCATACAACGGAACCTCAGTACTGCCGCTCTTCGTAATCCGTCATGCGCTTAGTAGTCAGCAGTGTTTTCCTCATCAGGACATCTCTTTGTAAGTTTCTCGTTTCTCCTCTCGCAAAGGATTGTTTAGAATATGTAATTATTTGCTTATGACAGTTTCATCAATTATTTTTCGTCTTGACATTTCGTTTTTGTCTGTCATAACCGTTTTAGGGCCGGATTATATAATGGAACCGGAAGTTTTCACAACTTTACCCAGGTACTTCCAAGTTGGTGGCAACCCCGGACCGATTATTGATAGCCTGACATCTAACTACACGGCAGTTGCTCAGGTGATATTTGTATTATTTTGTAGCGTATTTGATGGTAACTGTGAGCAGGTTGCGCTGGCTTCACATATTCAAAAATATTCACCAAAATCTACTTTGGATATGAAATTGCACTCGCTAACGTGAGTCATTAACATTTGGCGGAATGTGCTGTACAGAGTAGAAGCAGTTTCTTACCAGAATACACGAACGCCTACTGAACAGCTTGAAACACCGTTGGCACAACTGTCCGAATGCCGAACATGTTTTAGCGTTGGCTTATCTCACGTGAGGCATTTAGGAAATTCTGAGCGACAGGAAACTGTCATGGTTCGATCTTCTTCGAAGAAGAGGCAACAAAGTATCCATCGCTCATCATTTACCGACATTTGGTGAAAGAGACTAAACGGAGATCTGCTGTCAATCATTGAGGAATCTTTCTGGCATAGACATAGTAAAGATCTTATATTATGAAAGCTCCGTTTTGATGAACGGTTAGCATGAATCATAAACGGCCGCCAGATCTGGAATGCTGCCCCAAACATGATAATGGCAAAAATAGAAAATCGCTAGAAACCAAACTCTTGTGTACTAAGCACTTTATTGAAACTGCATCCAAGTACAGGTTAAATATCCCTAATCTGAAATCCTTGGGGCCAAGATTGTTTCAAATTTTGGATTTTTCCGGATTTTGGAATAATGATATGGTGGAGTTGAAGAGAATTGAAAAAAATTCAGGGAATGGATGAAGAGACTCATAATGGGTCACACATTCCGAAATATAAACTGTTATAACCATTTAACGCGTTTTATCACCCAAATTATCCAGTTGAACATGCAAAATAGCGAATCTGCTTCCTTTGAATAAAAATATTTATGGCCCAGAAACAGTGGGTTTCTACCCAAAAGGCTGCTTACTGCGAGAGTGAAGTTACGGATGATCCAAGAAGCGGTGTAGCGGCTCCTTATAAACCACATGAAAAAGAAACTTAGTTATTCCAAAATTTGAAAAGATCTGAGTTTCTTTGCGGTACAACATCAAATACAGAAAGACGTTTTCATACAGCCTCTGTAGGTTGCAGGTAAGTGGGATTGACGAATGAGAAGGAAGAGGGGATGAAAATTAGGAATTAATGGGTTGTTTCCATGATAAAATGCAAGCATGAAAATAGTGTGTGTTTGACCTGATTTCCCTTTTAACCCTGCAGACAAAATGATTAGCAACCAAGTGTGCTCACGAATGGGACGTTGAGAACTTCTGATAACGTTTGACCACCCGGTCATTGTTAGGGACAGAGGTGGACTCTTCTGATTGGCCTGTTGTTAGAAGGTACGACTGCCGATGGAAGTTTGAGGGAAAAGTGATGGGAATGGTATTACGGCACTTGCTGATATTAAAGATTTAAAAAAACTGGACTGAGAAGCGAGTTATTACGATATTACGGATTTCGGAATATTTTAGAACTTTGGATTTGAAGATATTATAGGTTTGTCGATTGTGGGTTGAATCCTATTATATCACATTATGCGCTTGGTGCGCCATGATCT